AAGCAAAGCGCTTGCAAGCCATGGTCCCTTGTGGCACCCAGGCCTGCCACTCAGAGTCCTCTGATCTGAAGAATTTGGGGCAGCGAGATGATTAGAGGTGGAGGCACTGAGGCTCCTGGAGGAATGAGAGCAGGAGGGGAGAGGAGAGGAGAGGACTGTCTTTTGTGATTTTGAAGGTAGGCCTCAAAGGAGAGGTGGCGGGGAACCCTGTCCTCCTGCTGTCTCTAGGAGTAAAGGGTCCTGATTATCTTCTAGGTTGTCCACATAGCTCAGGGTACAAAGAGTGGGAGGAGGGAGGCAGCCAGCACGGTAGCTCTGCCCAGGAGTAAATACCGTACCTTAGATTGGCATTTCTTTTAAACTCTCATCCAAGAAGTTGAGTGTGGCAGACTGGTTCTAGGAAGGTGAGAAATAACCATCTTCTTTAAAGTCCAGAGCCCATGGGTGGAATGGGCATTCATATCCACAATTTGCAGATGAGGAAATCCAGGCTCATAAAATGAGCATGACTTGCTCAAAGATACACTGCTGGTAAAAACAAAACAAAAAACAAAAAAACAGAATCAGGACTTAATCCAGGTTGCCAAGACTAGTGTTTCACCCACTTCCAGGCTGGCTGCCTTCTCTGCTATACCTTCCTTCCTGTGTTCCTCTTGGGTTTTACTTCTTAGCAAAGGACATATGGAGGGGTAGGGTAGGGGAATGGTAAGGAATACAAGTGATATTAAAGGAAATAATATATGTAAAAACACTTTGAAAACTATAAAGCTATATAAATATGAGGAAGTATTACTATTAAGTGTGGAAATGGTGTCTACCATTATCCTTTTCCATAATGACTAATAAGTTTAACTTCCCCTTGCCCTGAGAATTGAGCATTAAGATAAGGCAAATGTGACCAAGACTAGACAGAGGAATACTTAAACTAAACATGATAAAGAAAGATTGCAGAGATCTTCTGGCAAAATTGAGGAAGGAGCCCATCTCTCTAGGTGACTTCTCCTGAAAGCAAAATAGACCATGAAAATAGGTTGTGGAAAAGACACTGATCATTCAGTGAAGGCAACTCTGATTTTTTTTAAAGTGATTTGGTTGGGAGTACCACTGACCTAGCCAAGAAGGAATGTTGGAGGAGGAAAAAAATAAAAGTTTCAGGAAGAATTTATCTGCCCCATGAGTGAACGATTGGCCTACCTTGGAGTCATGCGTAAAAGAAAGAAAATAGCATTAACCAAAGGGAAAGCTCTGAGTCAGAGACACCTATGTTTCTCACTTTCCCCCCAGAATCCTCAGCTGGCCAGAAAGGGAAACAACACAATTTCATTTAAGGAGATTTTTAGTGAGAAATTAGGCCACTCATCTAGCTGCTGAGGGCCATCTATTGAAGAAAATGGGGCGTGTTTACAATATGCAGACAGATATATTTGCGAGTGGTTATCTAAATGTGACCCCTAGTGTCCAACTTGTGTGACATTCACAGAAGAAAATCTAGGTGATTTGATGGGCTGAAAACCATGGAACCATGAAATGTTAGAGCTAGAAAGCATTAGAGAGCATCTAACCCAATGTCTTATTTTACAGATGAATGATTAAGGCCCAGGGGTGATTAAGTGACTTGCCCAGGGTCAGTCACATAAATAGTGGCAGAGCTGGAATTGAACCCAGGTCTTCTAAACCCTAGTCCAGTACTATTTTCTATACTCTTGAGAATATCCCTCATAAAACGCAGTTGGCTTTATGTAGTTCGTTATAAGACCTATCTATGGAAGATTGTGAAAACTAAGTGTTGATTTCCTGTGGGCTGAATTATAAAGAGGATGTTGACATCATTTATTTGATCTGAAGCAGTGCTAATCACTAACTGCATCTTAAATCGTTCATGTTAAAAATCGTTAAAAAGATTTCAAACTCTTTCCATATTTTCCCCATTACAACCACACATCTAAGTGTCAGATTATGCCATTTCTTCCCAGCCCAAAGTTCATGGTGATTTTCAAAGGAAAGAAATTACACCATGTAATGGGAACAATCAGTCAGGGTGGGAATCAAATGGCCCAAGTCTCTCGAGATTCCCCACTATGGCCATGTGTGTGGGCAGCTGTTATTTTCCATCCATTTTCTGTCCTTCTGCTCATAGTCTGCTTAGTGAAGCCGGAGGGCATCATGCCACCATGCACACTGGCTCTCCCACAGACCCAGACAATGTAGCTTCAGCTGGCTCCTCTCTACCATCCAGGAGCTGGGATCACTCCCTCTCAAGTTCTTTCCAACAGCTCTTCCACCTTCCAGTGTCCTCAAGCTTACCTCCCCTCTTGAGCCCCTCAGTCTGTAGAATGATCTTGCCCTAACTTCACTGAAAAACAATCAAAGTCATTAAACATGACACAATAAAACTTCCCTTTTTTTCACTCTAAAATGTCTTTGGATCTTCAATCCTTTTTCAAAGGAAGAAAGGTTCATTTTCTTTTCAAAGTCCAGTCCTCCATTTGTGCTCTTCCTGGGACGTTGTTCCATCGATTACCAACGTTCTCTTCAGTTCCATTTTCTCTTTTCTTTCTGATGCCACTCTAGAAAAATGCCTAGCAAAATGCCCAATTTTCCCTTAAACTTAGAAAAAAAATCTTTTGGTCAATTCCTCTTAAAGGAAACCGATCTCTATTTTTTCTTTTACTGCCCAACTTGATTTACTCTCATCACCTCCTTAACTCCTTCTAATATCGATTTTATGCCAATAGTCTCCTAAAATTATTTTTAGAGAAAATTAAAATAATTAGAAATGTATTCATTAGACCCAATGGTCTATTCTTAGTTTTCAGTTTTCCTTGATCCTGCTTCAGGGTTTTGTTTGCTCAGGAAATATTGACTAAACATCAATTTTGGCAAGGCCCTGAGCTGAGCCCTGTGGAGAATAAAGATGAGTGATGCCCTGCCAAGAGTTTACAAACTAGCAGAAGAAATAAATACAGAAATGCATCAACTGAGGGCTTTTTCCTTATAGTCTCAACAATTTGGTTATATAATTCAATAATATTTTTCACATTATTTGTGCATGTGTCTAATACCCAAGTTAGAGTATAAGTTCCTTGAGTGAAGGGACATTTTCTTCTGTCCCCAGTTGCTCCCTGCATAGAACCTTGGACTTGGTAAGTGTTTGTGGTAGACCCCAAAAATCCTTACCTTCTGGTATTCATACCCACTTGTAGTTTCTTCCCATATGGAATAGGGTTGACATCTGCCACCAATAGGCTATTGAGGAAGTTATAATGTGTGACATTTGAGGCTAGGTCACAAAAGACATTTCAGCTTTGTCTTGCTCCCTCTTAGTTCACTCACTCTAGGAGAAGCCTCTGCCATGTCACAAGGACACTCCAGCAGACCTATGACTGAGGCCTCTTGGCCTCACCCAAAGACACCTTCTTATGACATGGCAATGATAGAAACAGTGTAAAATAGAAAATATATCTAATGAACTGGTTGATCTACCTAAGGAGATCTCCAGTCAGAATGCTGAAGGTTCTGCCTGGTTTCTTCTTGCTGCTTATAGTAAAATGTAAGAGGAGAGAGATAAGCTAAAGGAAGGATCAAGAAACAAAAAGAACCCAGGCAGTGTTATATTTAAAGTTTCCCACTTTGCCCTTCTAGCAAAGTCTTCTGAGCAAACCCTCAGAAAAAACATGGTCTAAAGATGAAGCCAAGGAATTGACTATAAAATCCTTTAAGATCTAAGAAAAATCCAAGGTTGTGCTTGGAGAACTATTCAGTCAAACAATAAGTCTTCTAAAATGTTTATGGATGTTGTTCCCCAATAATCTCAGAGAAGCACAAATAGAGAAGGGCTTATTTTGAAGCAATTTGTGGATGTGGTTTTTATCTAATGGAATGAATCCCAATAGAAATACAAAAAAAAAAAAAAAAAAAACCCACAGAGTTTTACCAGACCCACAGACTGCATGGTCAGAAATATGGCCAGCTTGTATCAAAAGCGGCAGAGATGGTACAACAGCAGAAGTAACTCTAGACTCCTAAACTTCTACAGGAGAACACGAGCTGAGAAAACCATGCCGCTGCACACAGGGGTTGCCTTTTGTGGAAAATGAAAAATGACTCAGGGGGAGAGCCAAGAGCCATTGAGAGTCATTCTGAGAAGGAAGAGCACAGACGAGGGAGGCCTCCGATGAACAGCTTGTGAAGAATCGAGGCCTCCTGCCAATAGCCATGTGAGTGAGAAATCTTGGAAGTGGATCTTTCCTGTCAAGCCTTCAGATGACTGCAGCCCCACTGATACCTAGACTGCAACCAGAATTACCAAACAAATTGCTCCTGAATTCTTGACACTCATATACTATGTGAGGTAATAAATTCTTGTTTTAGGCTACTAAGTTTTACAGTACTATTTTATATAGTAATACATAAATAATACAGTGTTCAATAAATATTTGTTGAGAAAATGGAATAAATCATATCTCAAAAAAGAATATAACCAAATTCTAGTATACCCCACAATTAAGTACAAAAAAAATCTCCTGAAATGTATAAAATGAGCCCTTTGACAGAAAGAAAAGTTAATCATATTTCTATGGAGACACACGATACAAAGAGGAAGCAAGCAGAGGTATTACGATTCACTTCATCAATTTACCACTGTTGTTCTTTTACTTGAATGATCAAGGACTGTCCAAAGTATACGTGTGGGGTGGGGTGGGGGCAGGGCGGGAATGGCAAACAAACTGTGACCTAGGAGACCATATTCAACAGGAGTTAAGGTTCATCGTCCTCTCGTTCTCCCTTCTTCCTTCTCTTCTGTGTCTCAGTTTACCTCTTATCATTGCTCCATTTTTCAGGACCGTATGAAAGAACCAAAGTATGATAGGTGAAAACAATATACTCAGGAAACCTCAACTCTTTTTTATACCTTTAGAAGCATTCCTTGGAGCAAGAGGGCTTTAAATACTTGATCCCAAGAAAGCAACACAGATGCATCATTCCAAGAAGCCATCAAGGAAGATATAATCCCGCTTCTCAATAAATCCACTGGGATTGATGGAAGTTTATCTCCGAAGAGAATTGTCACTAGATTGAGAGATCGAAGGGCCAGATGAGAACATTGCTTACACTGGGCCCATAGTCATGGGTCTGACCCTGAGTTCTCCAAAGGAGTTCATGTCTGAAAATTCCTAATGTAAGTTGTTATCCTGAAGGATAAACGCTGTTGTTGGTGGTGGTGTTTTACTTCTACTAAACCCAACAACACTGCTGAGAATCAACCTCTAAGCTAAAAACACCTAAAATTAAGTTTGTGTTTAATGGCAAACAACAAAACCCTGTTGACAATGATTTAAACAGATAAGGGTTCTTCTCTCAATAAGAAGGCACCCAATAGATAACCTGGACTCCATTGGGCTCCCTGTTCTGCCATCCTTCAAACATGGTGGCTGCACTTCCAGTCGGGCATCCTGATCCGATTGTCTTCCAAGCAGGAAGAAGACAGAAGGGTAGGGGAGCCAAGGCAGGTTGGTCATACCAGTCAC